AGACAGAAAAGCATGAAGAGCTTCCAAATGCAGACCCAGAAGTCAGCTTGTGTGGAGTGGTGACCTCCATGATGACCAGGAAGTTTAAATAAGATGGTATAGGTAAGAATTAATAGGGTTCAAGGCTCCTAGCGGCATGAATGAAAACATAAGGTTGTGAAATAAAAACATTCAAAAAGACACTAGTGACTGCAGGGGAGACGGGAGATAGTGCTGGTGGAGAAATAGTGAAAAGTGCTGTGAGACTCGGGGATCAAGTGTTTGCTCGTGGGTATCAGCTGACATTGTCAGGGGGATGTTCGGTTAGAGCTTAAACATGTTTATCCTGACAGGTGGGTCAGGTGTAATTCATGAAACCCTTCACTTCGCGAGGTCTCCCAATATACCAGCTGTTGCAAGAAGTCAGATTTATTGCTTGAAAAAGGTAAGATGAACTACAACTACTTAACAATCAAAACAAAGAGACTTTGCCTCCCCCCCAAAAAAAACCCAGCTTTGTAATGTATAAAATTCTAAAATACAGAAAAAGAAGAAGAAGAAGAAGAAGAAGAAAAAGAAGAAGATGAAACCCTACTTAATAAAAATTGAAATTCCTTTCTTTTCTTCACCTGTTCACCAGGGAAGGTATAGTTAGTTTTAAATGGATCAACATTTAGAAAAAAACCACAGCCAACCAAAAACAAACACATTTCTGATTTCAGTGTTGATTCTCTGGTTTGGGTACCTGAGCTGGTTATCTATTGCTGTTTTATTCTCCCTTTTTCTCTTTTGTGCACATTTTCTGGGAGGAAACTTTCCCTGAATATTCTGAGACCACTGGCTGAGCTACTCACACAAAGACCTAGCGATGGACCTGAGCTTAATTTCACTTTTAAAAGAAACCACCTTTATTTTTTCTTCTCATCAAAGCCACTTCACTACAACAACTTTTTCTCCCGTTATAAAAACTCTCCCAAATCAGTGCTGCATCTCAAAATCTGACCAGGAATGGATGTGCCCGTGCTCTGTCTCGTAATAAATGTGATATTTCCATTTTTGATGGCTTAAGGAGTAAAAACTGTGATCCTGGCAACTTCTCCGAAGTTAAACAAAAGTTCCCAGGTGACCAAACTATTCCAATCTCAGCTAGACACCCAAGAGAATGGAAAACATATATTCACCCCAAAAATGTGTACACAAATGTTTGTATTATTCATAATTGTCAAAAAGTGATGGCATCCCAAATGTCTGTCAACCAATAAATGGATAAACAAAAGTGTGATATTCATACAATGGCCTATTACTCAGCCATGAAAAGGAATGAAGTACTAATAAACATTGAAAACATTGTGATAAGTGAAAGAAACCAGACACAAGAAACTATTGTGTAATTCCATGTATACAAAGCATACAGAATAGGCAAGTCCCCAGGCAGAAATTAGGAACAGAGAGTAAATCAGTGGTTGCTAGGGGATGGGAGACAAGTTGTGACTTTAGATATGGAGTTTCTTTTTTGGAATGATGGGAAATGTTTTGGATTTAGTGGTAATGTTGGCACCACATTGCAAATATACTAAAAACCACTGAATTTGCACACTTTAAAAAACAGTAATGGGCCGAAACCGGTTTGGTTCAGTGGATAGAGCGTCGGCCTACGAACTGAAAAGTCCCAGGTTCGATTCCAGTCTAGGACATGTACCTTGGTTGCAGGCATATCCCCAGCAAGGGGTGTGCAGGAGCCAGCTGATCGATGTTTCTCTCATCCATGTTTCTAACTCTCTATCCCTCTCTCTTCCTCTCTGTAAAAAATCAATAAAATATATTTTTTAAATGGTAATGGGATTTCAAATCTTTAAAAAAAAATAGTGATCTTTGAGATGGTGAAAGAAAGGTAAAGATATTAGAATATTCCTGTGCTGTTTGGGTAATATGGAAATTTGGGGTGCATTCAGGTGGGATCTTTGCAATGCTCCAAGACCTAGTTTTAAAATTCTTCAAACATAAGAAAGATGCTCCTACACAGTCTACAGTCCATATACCCTGTGGGTTGCCGGCTTCCCAGGCCCCTTGACCTCACCCCCATGCCCATCAGGAGTCAGTGGCCCACAGTTTGGGGCCCTGGAGTGATGATGTCAGCAAGCTGACTTCTCCACCCTGGACATAACGTGTGTGTTGCTGATTGCCCACCCTGGACATAACACATGTGTTGTGTGACCATATGATGCCATTGTTTTTGGTTTTAAGTATGTAAAACAGATGAAGGGACTGTACCAACTCACGTTTCCCCCTGTGAACCCACCCAAGCCAATGTCTTCTGCTCAGCTCCCAATGCCAAACACCCGGCACACATTTATTTACGTAGGCAAATAACCAGGACAAACTGCTGAAACGATGGAATCTTCTTGATTTTACTGATTAGAGTTGAGCTGCCAAAGGTACTGGGTTTTCATACACAGTAGTGGCCAATTAGTTTGTGGTCAGACTTCGGAAACATCTTGGACATCCACCTCTGACACATCTGTGAACCCAGGGGGACGCGGGGAGGACGAAGCAGGAGGCTCAGAGGCTCCTGGAAACAGCGGCTGGAAAGCCCATGCATCCCTCCTCAGCAGCAGAGCCAACCTGACACCACGTGACACAGGCGTTCCTGGCCTCCAAAGAGAACTTCTCGTTTTTTTTGTCCCAGAAGTTCCCATCAGAGAGCAGGAGGTGAAGAGCAGGAGACTCTGAAAGCTAACAGGTGAGGGGCGGAGGAGGGTACCGGATTGGCAAGAGCAGACCAGCCCAGACACAGAGAGCTCCCCGGGTGGTACAGAAACACATTTGGCATCATCGTGTGCACGAGATAAAGAACGGCGAAAGCTGTTTTAAAGGTACAGCCAGGGGTCACGGAGGACAGGGATTAAAAGGTCCCCAATACCCCAATTGCCCCAGATGGCTTCACCAGCAGAGCAGACAGCGGTAGAAGCCATCAGTGAGATGAGCACAACAGCCTGTGAAAGGCAGAGCCAAGCCCCACACGTTCTGGTAGCTTCTAATGACATCACTGCACCACAAAGCCAAGTACAAAAGGGGGCTGATGTTTACAACGATGGCTGTGACTCATCGAGAAAAGGTGAAATACTCTCCAGCGTACTCTGTTTACTAAGGCAGGGACGTGTGTAATACATCTTTAGAAAGATTTCCCTCAAAAAATATGAATATTTTAAAGATTCAGCACTTCAGGGGTTAATCCTCTGTTATCTGAATAGTTGCTTGCATGCCTCCTTTTACAACAATGCTAGTAAACGAGGCATTGCTCTTTTTTTAAATAATCATTAGTATCAAATTATTGGCACCATTCAGTGTTAAGTACAGGGACAGGAGAGCAAACTGTACAGCAAAACGTAAAAAATACAGTTCTGATACAAACAGAGGAGATCAGTTCCACTTAACAAGCGGTCTTAAGAAAGGGGTGGACACTTTTTACACACAAGGAAATACAGCTAGTAAATCATCACCTGGAAAAAGTGCTCGGCCTTGCTAGCAATTAATGAAATAAAACAACCTTTCAAGAACAATTGTACACACCTATTAAACTAGCGAAAATAAATTAAAGTGGCCAAAACCCAATACTGGCAGAGCTATCGGTAAATAGAAATGCTTATATATTGCTGGTGGCATCATAAATTGTAGGAGTTCAAGCATTCACAGGGGATCGAGGGGGGTTGACCTTTACGGTCTTTCCAACCCAAAGATTGGATCTTTCTAGAAAGCAACCTGGCAATAAAGCAAGAATTATACAATACTTCATGCTCTTTGACCTTACAATCCCTCTTTGGAGAGATTCCCAGGGGGGAGAATCCAAAGGAAGGATAGTTTTTTTTTACAAAGACATTCATAGCAGCACTATTTATAAGAGTGAAAAACTTGGGATATAACTCAAATAGCTAATAATGGGGAGAAGTGAGGTTAACCATGTTATATGGATATAAAGACATTTAAGTGGGTGAGAGCAGGATCTGTCTTGAAAAGAGAACTTATGCGTTAGGTGGAGAAGAACAACCAAAGAGTGTGTACACACCGATCATACGTAAAAAAAAGGTGTGCATATTCATCGAGAAAGCTCGGGAAACAATTTGGAGAGCTAGTTTGTGGCGAGGGGATTCCTTTATTCCTGCAAAGTTGTTCAAGTGCATAATAAAAATTTAAAAACACATTTCTGGAAACTTACAAAAAGAGAGCAGAGTTTCTTCTGGTCAAGGTTCTAGCAACAGGATAGGAATTGATCAACTTTAGAAATAACTCTCCTTTATGGAACACCCCAATGAATCCTGATATCGAATCATCTTAATCTGGAAAGGATTTTTAGAATTTAAGCTATAATTTCCTACTTTGGATTCAATCACAAATTCTGTGTATCTCAAATGATATCGTATTTAACAAAGTCACAAGTGAGATTATGTTTCAGATTAAGCTGAAGTGCCTCGAGTCCTGGTGATTTGCAACTTTCCTTTTCAGTTCACCTACTCGTGTCTGAATAAAAATGGATGTTCAAGACTTTAAAAGATCTGTGTATTTACCAGTGTAAATGAAAAATCAGCAATAAAGAAGTATTCTCTCGTTAAAAATGACTCTTTAGCAAACAGTCAAAGCTTGGTGTAAGTTTCGATCATACAAAATCACATGACTGAGATTGATAGCAAAGGATTCTGAGCCTTAGTAATGCCTGTGGTTATCAATGAATACAACACCACAGGTACTTCTGAAAAGGAATCCCCATTTCTCCATTTTCTTTTTTTTTTGTCAAGACTTACAAATCCCGTCTCCCCTGCATGGAGTAGTAGAGAAACTTTAATACTCAGGAGACATTAAAATAACTTTTCCAATAAAAGCCAAGCCAGATGTTGGCTCCCACCAACCATGGGGACCTGGGCGAGCAGAGCACACATGTGCATGTTGTGCTAGCGTGAGCACACAAAGCCCGAAGAAGGAAAATGACAGAAGGCACCACGCCGTTCTCCAGGCAGCAAGGGGAGAAGTCACAGTTCGGTCATCAACAGTCTTTTCATCATCTTCTCTCTCTCCAGTTCCTGCCGGAGCGTCTCTGCACTGAAAGAGAGAGTAGGTGACAAGACAGTTAAGATAAAGCCTCAAAAACAGAAGAGGTATGGGGGAGGGGGGGAGGCGGCGGGAGAGGTGGCAGTGGCAGGAGGGAAGCCTGTTGGAAGTCTTGCAGGAATATTACTGCAACAGGTCCCTAGTGTTTTAATAAATAAAACTGAATTAAAATTGGCTGCTTTAAGAGATTGCTTCCAACTTCTTGGCCCTCATGCCCAGTTGCTTATCTATGGAATCCGTCTCCACTTTTTACACACACACACACACACACACACACACACACACACACACACACGCATTTAATGTCTGTCTCCTCTTTCCCAACACTAAATTGTAGGACTTCATCAAGGAAGGGCTTTTCCCTATTTTGTTCACTGTGCATTCCTAGCACCTCAAGTACTGTGCAGCCTTTGAAGGCATATCAATAAGCCCAGAAAAAAATGAATGAAAGAATGAATGACTGGGCTGTAGACATCACAAACGCAGTGAACTGAAGGCCTGTGCCTGGTTTCCCTGGCCCACCTGGCTGCCAGAGAAACAGGCTTCCGAGTGGTGTAGACGGTCTGCACGGTGGAGATGGTCTCTGTCAAAGGCCTCAGAGTCACTGCTGGGATCAGTGGGGAAGACTGGCCAGGGCAGCACTGTAATTTACTGTCTCTAAAGTCGGCCTGGAGAGGAAACAGGAACGAGGAACGCGATCTCAATTTAGGTTTCCTTGCATACTGTCAGCTGCCCCCCTAAGCCATACCATGCAATTCCTGTGACATTTTAATAACAGCTGAACTCAATCATCATTTATTAAATGATTTTACTTTGTGTCAGACACTATGCGAAGTACTTGACACACATTACCTCCTGGCAATGCTGTAAAGTGGAGATCATATTTTATCACATCTTAGACCCCATCCAAAATGCACCATTCTTTTCCATGTGACCAATCAAACTTTGTCCCACCCCGCATTGTAATGAGTTTTTTATTACAGAGATGTTAAAAGGTTAAAAAAAAAAAAGTGCATCTTAGAACTGATTTTATGGAAAAGGAAAGTGAGGCTCCAGAGAGGTTAAGAATCTTCCCAAGGTCACACAGGGTACGTTAAGAACCAGTATTTAGAACCAGGGTGAGCTGGCTTCATAACTGGTGTCTTTCACCACCATAGCAATGGCTCCAAAGTATGGTCCCCAGACTAGCAGCATCAGTATTATCTTGAAACTTGGTAAGAATGCAAATTCTCAGGCCCCACCAAAGACCTTTGGAACCAGAATGTCTGGGAAGTCCAGCGATCTGTGTTTTCACAATGCCTCTAGATAATTCTGAAACCAGGTAATGTTTGAAAACTACTGGTCTAGAGCAGTGGTTGGCAAACTCGTTAGTTAACAGAGCCAAATATCAACAGTACAACCCAAATACCCATCAATGAATACATGGATCACCAAACTGCAGCATGTATGTACAATGGCATATTATTCCTCCATAAACAGAAATGAAGTACTGACACATGCTACAAAGTGCATGAGCCTCAAAAACATACGAAGTGAAAGAAGCCAGACACAAAAGGTCATATGACTCCTTTGATATGAAATATCCAAATTAGGGAATTCCATAGAGAAGGAATGCAGATTGGTGGCTACTAGGGGCCAGAGGGAGGCAGGAAACAGGGAGTGACTGTTTAGTGGGTATGAGGTTTCCTTTGGGGGTGATAAAATGTTTTGGAACTAGATAATGGTGGCAGTTGCATGGTTCTAAATGTACTTTCACTGAGTTGTCACTTTAAAATGGTTAATTTTAACCCAGCCGGTGTGTCTCAGTGGTTGTTCACTGGTTAGATTCCCCCTCAGGACACATGTCTGGGGTTGCGGGCTCCATCCCCCATAGGGGGCATGCAGGAGGCAGCTGATTGATGATGTTTCTCTCTTATCAGTGTTTCTCTCCCTCTAAAAATTAATAAAAACATATTTTGAAATGGTTAATTTTATGTTTGTGATCAGGCCAACTATGTCCTCCTCTCAGGGATCGGATGTAGGTAATTCCTAACTAAAAGATGGAAACCCCTCCAGACCCCAGCTCCTTCCAAGCTCAGAGTTGACAGTGATCAAAGGAAGCTGTTGGCACGGTCCCTGCATCCCACAGCACCGCGTGCCACGTGGGAACAATGCCTTTGAGTGCAGGCGGGCTCTCTGGATTAAGCTACTTACGGTAAACGGCGGCCCTGCGATGAAAGGCTCAGGAAACGAGGTCACTGGATCAACCGGGAATGTTTTTATCTTCAAAAAAGAGAGAACGCAAGAGTGTTACTTTTGGGTTAGAAAACCATGTTTTGCAATCTCTGGCAGTGCGTTTTTTTAATTCGAACTGAAGGCTTCAAGGGCACGAACGCAGGGCCTGTGTTGCTTGTGTAGGGAAAGACACAGAGGCCCCGCAGGCGTGTGGCCAGTGGTTCTCTCTGTGCCTCTTGTTGTGGTCTTGTGTTTGGGGGGCACCCTAGGCTTACCTCGCCCTGGAACCCCCTACCCTAGAGTCTGCGGGGGCCTCCCAGGCATGCTGGGCCCTGTACATGGCCTGACCCACTGACCAGGGTGCACATGAAGCAGGCCGGGGGAAGGAGTGGAGACGCTGAGAGGTCCCATTTTGGGACACAGTCTATCATAGTGGGCAGAGGAGTGACTTACCCACGACCACACTCTTAGTCCAGAGCCGACTACTTAGGCCAGAAAGCATTCCCTACCTGCTCTTGTTAGTCGTTGAACTCCCTGTACACTCTGGGCCACAGAAGGAACCCACAGAAGCCTGTGGGAGTCCCACTACGGTGGCCTTCAGGAACAGAAGGCACGGCGATCAGAAGGGCCCGGTGCCAGGGGTGGCAGCAGCTGCTCTGAGGGAGAGGGATGCACCATCTGATCAGGCAGTGGTGGGTGGCCAAAAAGAGCCTGTGCTTCCATTCTGGGTCTGGTCATTATGTCTTTGGCCTCTTGGGGAATGGGGGAGCAGCTTATTTCTGTAAGCCGTCCTGGAGATCTACCCGCATGCCCAGGGGCCTGATGGCTCTGGCACTAGCTTTGTGTGCAGCCCCAGGGCACAGACACTGCCTGCACACCTGCTGGGGATACACACTCTGCCCCACCCCGACCCCCCAGAGGGTTGTAGCCCAGACAGCTGCCCATCGGAAGCAGCCTTTGTGTCCCTCAGGGTCTTGCCTATGGGACCTGGGACTTGATGTGCTTTAGTCACTTGAATGGGGAGTAAAGTAGGAATGAGCAAAATCACCTCAACCAGACCCAAATTTGCTGAGGTTTCTGAAAAGGTGAGATAGGTCTCAGTCTAACTGATCTGGGAATGATACTGTCCTTGCAATATGCACAGAGAGGTCCAGTCCAAGTCTGCTCCCCTCCCCCAACTTCTCTTCTGCCCCTTTAAATGTCTCCAAATTCCCAGCATGGACCCCACGCTTTGCCTGAAGACTCGGGTGCCAACTCGATTGCTGGTGGTGGCTGCCTGCAGCCAAGCAAGATTGGGACCAGGGCCAGTGCCACGTGGTGCACGCCCCTCACGTGGTCTCACGGTTCCATGTGGTGTTCTGAGACCAACTGCCAAGTGCAAGGTCACGTACAGGTGAGACTCTCAGACCAGCACAAAGCAGAAGGGGAGAGAGTTTGTTATTGCTGTTAAAGAAATGTGACAGTTGGCAACTTCGAAGAATGACGGTGCACCTGCCCTAAATAAGAAAACGTGTATTCCAGCAGTTGTGCTCCGTGGCCAAGCATAGTCTCCTGACGGTGCTGTCACTGGGTCTAAACACTTGAGCATGGGAGCATAGTCAGTCCCAGTACTGGACTGAGCAGGGCCTAGCCTGAGAGAATAAAATGCCCGATGCCGGAGCCTCCGTGTGCTCCCTGAAAAAGGGACACACCGGAAAGCAAGCCCACGGCCTGCAGCACAGAACCAGTTAGCTGCCTGGTGGACCCCTCACCTAGGCATAGAAACGGTCATAGAGAGTGTGGTAACAAGGACAAGGTAAAAAGAACACAACCTTAGGTAAAAAACAGAACATGGCATGGGTGCTATGCTTTATCTCTGTAAAAATATGAAAACGGATTAGCAGGAAACATGCAAAAAAAAAAAAAAAGAAAGAAAGAAAGAAACAACAACTGTGTGCTAGGTTGGGGTTATGGGCAGATTCCTTTCGAGTCATTATGTAACACTCATATTATCTTGATAAGCAGCAAGGAAGACGCATTTTAAAAAGCTTTTATTTTCCACAGAAATGCAACCAAGAGTTCTCTCTCTGGGAAAAGCATCTGTGCTCATCGAAGCTCTAGGATAACAAGCTTCCTGGTTCTGGAAACTGGTTCTAGCGATGACGGGCCAGCACCGCAGCCCCTTGTTCCCGTCTGGCCAGAGCCAGCTGGTCTCCAAAGTCTGCGTCCATCCTGGAGTGAGAGCACCTGTCAGCCGGCCTCCTTGGGGGGCTGGGGCTGCCGCCTGGGGGCTCCTGCCTGGCCTCTCCAGGCCAGGCCCGTCTCCCTGCCGGGGTACCTACCAGCCTCGTTTTGATTGGAGGGTGCATGCAAACTCCAGTGGTCTCTTCCTTCATGGGGAGAGAGAGTGGAGGAGAGCAGCGAGAGTGGGCACAGTGGGGGGCGCTGGCGGGCTCTGCCTGCTCACAAGGAGAGGAGAGAAGGGGAGGAGGAGGTGGTGAGAGATGGGGAGGAGGAAGAGGAGATAAGGGAGGGGGAAGGAGAGAAAGATAGCACAGTGCAAGACAGATCTGTCAACTCCTGCTCTCAAGCCAGCCTCACCCGCAGCCTGCTTCCAGCCTCTGGCCAACTGGAGGCTCGTCCCTCCCACTGCCCTCCTCTCTCCGCCTTCTCTCCTCCTCTCTGGCCCTCCTTAGTCTCCTCCACCATCTGAGCAGAACTCCACCTCAAAACCCCAACCTGGTGGGGGTGGGTAGGGGCCGTCTCCTGTGCCAACTGCATTGGACTGGCAGTGTCTTCCTGGCACGCTGCTGAGGATTCTGAAGCATTGCCCAGGCCAAGCCGGAAAGCTGTGATGAGTTAGTGATGTCAGCATAGGAACACTATGAGGAGTGGCCACACACATGGGAGCGATCACCTGCCAGGGTCTACCTTACGGCAACTCGATGAGCAGATGTCCAGCAGAGCGCTCCAGGAAAGAGAGACACTGGCGAGGAGGAACGCCGAGTTTAGGGCTGAACCTGTCATCTCTCTCTATCTGTGCAGGAAACATACTGGCCTTCCCCCCCCTCACACACCCACGGGCCCAGGCCTTGGCATCTCGTATGGGCACCAGGGTACCCTGCTGCTTTGCTGGAAGATGCCAAGCATCGTGAGGAAAATGCCACGTCACTTGGGATACCAGGTTCCCCGCCCCAGCCCTACATTGTGCCATGCACCGGGCAGAGGTCCAGCAGTGTGTACAGCTGAAAATGAGGGTGGTGAAGAGAGAATGCTCTGATGCCAGGGGAGGGGACTACAGACGGGGTGAGCCTGGGTGTCAGGGAGGGACCATTCGTGCCAGAGAATAAATACAGGCAACTTTTCACTCCAGAGAGTCTCCTTACGTAGCTGGTATGATCCTGCCCTAATGAATACAGCACAGCCTCTGGGTAAGTCTCATTGGAAACTGATCAAGAAAAGTGCAGACCTCTTCCTGTCTCCACACGGATCTAACTTCGTCCTCTACAGCCCCGGATGGTTTCTGGGGGAGCGGGAGGGGGAAGCTTTCACAACCACTATCTCACAGTGGCCTTCAGGGCAGCCTCACTGTACTCTTCAAATCCGGGATGTGCAGAAATGGCATTTGCAAAGTCTAACTCCATGGGTCTAGACCCCTTCGTGATGGTTCTAAAGTTATTCTTCAGAAACAAGTGAGTCCCTGTGAGTCACCTGCAGTTAAGTTTAGCCTCCTCCCCTTCCCCACCACTGTTCTCTCTGGTCCTCAGGATAAATCATACATCCGTCCGACAATGTCCGTGACCTGCATGAAGCTGGCTCCCATCTGCCCTCAGGCTCGGTCCCCACCCCTGTCCCAGGCATCAAAGTCCCGGCCAGAACCACGACCCCAGGGACCCCAGGTGACAGGGCCGTTGCCTCTACAGGTAACAGCCGGCTCAGTGTGTGCTCTCTGAAGAAAATATATATCAATTGGCCTAAATGATCAAGAATCATGGACGCCCACCAGTGTTTGAATGGAAGGTTATCATCACGACTTAAGGCTTTGCCCAGCACTGGGCTTTTCTATGCTCAAGGAATGTGGATCCCAGAAGCATCTCTGGCCTTTCTAACAGGCATCTGAGTGGACAGAACATTCCTGCAGCTCCTGCACGCTGGACTCTAGGAACTGAGCAGGAAGTAAGATAGCATGGAACAGGGCACTGTTCTGTGTTCTTGGCCTGGTATTTCCTTTGCTTCTTGGGTCTTTCCCACCCTCGGCCAACTGGATTCTACTTGGCTTTTGCATTTCAAAATCTGACTCTTTGGGAAAGATTTCAGCCTGGACAAATGACGATGCAGATGTGTGACGCTTCATCATCCAGATAAGGAAAGAGATTGCCCGTCTGAGGATGGAGGGGAAAGCCAGAGGGGAGGGGAGGAGGGCTGGACATTAGGGGCCTGTGCCCCCATTTGTGGGCTGAGGATAGGGAATGGAGGTTGAAGCCAGAGAGCACCTGTGTCCCGCTGCTCAGGTAGAGCCGGGAGGGGGCAGGTCCCAGAGCAGCAGATAGGGATGCATACATAACCCAGCAGGACAGTGATTGGCGTTCCACTCTCTGCCCGAGGGAAGCAGAGTGCCCCGATGTATGGGCAAGCGATGGGATCACAAACTAGATGACTCCCTCCATGCCTGGAGAACACAGGGAGACTGAAGAGGTACCCCAATTTGACTTGGGATGAAGCTTTAGCCCTCATGATAGAATGAGGTATGAAATAAAAACAAAGCTATTGAGGCAAATAGCAACCCAGTCATTCCGTGCCCATCACAGCCTTCCTCTGGCGAGCTCCACCTCCTCCTGACCAACCATCCCCGGCCCAGAAGAGACCTGGGTGGTGACCAGCTCTGCTTTGCAGTTGGGTGAGTGGCTTATGAAATGATGGGGATTAGGGAGGGACAAACTCCAAAGAGAAAGCATCCATCTTCCCTCCAACTTCTCTCATTCTCTGAACACCAGCGTCCTCTGCACACTGCTCACACTCACTCCCCTGCAGAGACGAGCAGATGGAGAGTGGGTGCTGACTTCACTCACAGCTTTCTCTCCCTGGCCACCCCCACCCCTCCTCTCCCATCTCAGGCAGAAACGGACCTGGTTATGAAGTCTGTGGTGCCGATTCGGAGACTGGGCAGGCAACGCGCTGCAGGGGTGGTGGGACTTTGATTGCTAAATTGAGCTACATCGTCAAAGAGTTGGGAATCAGAGAAGAGGTTTGGGGGAAGAAGGGGAAAATGCTGCAAGAGTGAAGTCAGAGAGAATGTTTTCGAGAAGAGCTTGGGGGATGAAAGTCCTTGCAGGTGGGCAGCAGGCAAGAGAGGGAAGAGGGCAGCAGAGTCAAGAAGGGTTACCAGGTGTGAGTTTCATCTTGAATGTGTTTTTTAGAAATCCCAGTCAGAGGTTGAACCTCTTTGTTATGCTTGGCTGTTGGGACTATGCTTCTTTGGAAGCCACCCCACGCCGACTGGTCCATGAGGGTGGAGAGTTACCAGAGTTACACCAGCTCTGATAGTGCCTTGGAAGATGAAGGAAGATAATCTACCCGCCTCATCTCTCCAGCTCCCTGTCTGTGCAGCTCTGTGCTCTCTTCTTTCCTCTGTTCTCCAAGAAAGCAGGGCCATGATGTGGCTTTAGGGGTCTCATTCAGCCCCCGGCCTTCAGCCCGATCTCTCCTCTGCTGTCTCGAGCCACATGATCCCCATCACCCTGATCATGAGGGCAGAGAGGGCTGCTGCTGGCATTGCTATGACACTGGGAGGAGCAGAAGGAGGAGATGGAGGGCAGAGGACTGGACAGAGGGAGAAGCAGGCTGCCAGAGTCCCTCTTCCTCTCAGGAACTCTCAGGTACCCACAGAAGACAGGACCCCAGAGCGAAGTAAGTTCAAAGCCAATGATGCTGAGGAAAGCCCAAATGGGATGGCTTCCTGCCAAAATACCAGCCCTCCAGCTGCCTGCTATGTGAACGTGCACTCATGCCTCAAATCCACGCAACAAATCCACACCAACATGACCAAAGATGCTTCACCCTGAGAGCACGTATTCACGGCAGACCTCATGGGAAGCACGCAGCCCGGTCTCAGTACAGCCCAAGGACCTCAGCTGTCCTGTGCCCGGGCGGTCCAGCACCCTGGCCCTGGCTTCAGAGCTGAGAGCCCCCAGAGATGCCAGCAGGGTGTCCTGGGGAGAAGGAATGAGCTCCCTGCTGCTGGAGGGGTAGACAGTCTGGTCAGTCATTTGTTAGACGTTTGCAGCTCATGTCATGGGACTTCTGGGTTCCTGCCTGACGCTGCTTCCTTTCTAACCTGAGTCTTATATTCAAAGAAAAGATGGGCAATTCAGTCTACAAACTGGACCCATAGCATGGTCTTAATTGAATCCCAGGACTCCTATCAAAGGTATAATATAATATAATATAATATAATATAATATAATATATATATATATATATATATATATATATATATATATATATATATATATAAAACAAATCCTAGTTCTCAGATGTAGCAGGCCTTTTTAACAAATACTCAGTATTCTGTTCACAATGTGTCCCCTGCATAGAACGCTTTGGTCTACTCTCTCCATGTGGCAAACTCCTACTCACACTGGATAACCCTGGTCCCGTGGAACCTAGGAACACTGCTCTCTCCCCTTTTGCTTCCACAGGCTTCCAGACTGTGCCTGAGGGCATCCCTGGTCCTTTGCGGGGTGCTGCCCGCTGCCTAGGCTGGATGTCCTCAGCTGGCCCCCAAGGCCCACCAGGATGTAACTGGGGTGCTCATGGGATACCGATGCAGCTCCCGGCCCAGCCACCTAACCTGCTGCCCTGTTCTCCAGGCCCAGGATTGGAGTGCTTTACACACACCCTTCTCCCTGGCTCTTCTGCCAGGTGGCAAGTTCCCTAAGGAAGACGCCGGTTGCAGCTCAGCCTGGTGCAAGGAGCATTCGAGGCACTTGGGTTCCCGCGCCATCACATTCCTGTGTGGTCACCCCACACTGGGGCTCAGTTTTCCCACCTGAGTAAAGGGATGATGAAGGCCCTCTGTTTCTGGCACATTTTCTAAAAAAGGACCAGGAATAACTGGGTTTCATTCACTTGCACACGGGGAATAACTCAGAAGGTTCCCGGAACTGGCTGTTCTCGGCAGTTTATCCAAAGCTACTGCCTCAAAGCTCTGAGATGGTACCCATCTCCAGGTGAGAGGTAAAATGGTATAAATCACAGGGAATTGCCGTGGGCCCACTGAGGCAGGACTGGTGATCATTCCTAACGCCTGGACAGCATCAGCATCATGCCCCATTTGGAAACCTTCCAGAAATCCCTCCTACCCACCAAATCCCCCGCCAGTGAGCCAGACCTGAGTGACTCCCGCTTCTGGCTTCTCTCTGCACATCCTGTACCTGGCTCTCCTGCCCACCTGGCCCTTTACCGACCTGATCCCTCCAACCTTTGGCCGCCGTGTCCTCTCCGAGCCCCCGCGCGGTGGGAGCACTGTGAGCTCTCAGGAGACAGTGTTTAATTTGCCTCCCATTTTGACTCACTTTCCAAATGTGTGGACCGTGACTGATGCTCAAGCACACCTGGATATTAACACTGAGCCAAAGACACATCCAACTTTGCCTGCATCCTCCAATAATATTAGCCGTAATATCTTACACTTAGTATGGTGCTTTGCATTCTTGAAAATCTATCTCTCCCTTCTCTCTTTCCCCTCCCTTCCTCCCTCCCCCCCCTTCCCGCCACCTCTCTCTCCATCCTTCTAACACTCGCAGGGCAGACAGGGCAAACGATGATGTTCTGATTTGACAGATGAGGCAGCGGCTAGCCAATGCCAAGGCTCTTGAGGGAGCAGAGACTGGAGCCAGGTCCTGCCTGCAGGACACCTGTTTGGGAATGCTCTCCCACTTGCACACCCCCCCCCCCCGCAGGGCCGCCCTCCCTGAGGGGAGCCCCGGGGCAGTGGATGGAGGATGGCAGGGAGGCACAAGGGGTCCCGAGAGCCAAGTGAGGACCGGAGCAGGTGCTTTAGCCCAGCGCATGTGGTTTAAGTGACAGGCGATGCCCCATGGGTGGGCATGCGGGGCGCAGCCCGGGAGGCCAAGCACTGAGGGGAGGGGAGCAGCAGGCAGGCGGGGGCGGAATCCCAGCGGCCACCTTCAGAGGAGAGGGAGCACGGCCCTCACAGACTCTGAACCCCCAAAGAAAGCTGACCCCCAGGCCTCTGGGCTGAGAGTGGTGCCTGGAAGAGCCTTCCCCACGGCTGTCCATCTGTCCCCCTGCCCGGGAGTCTCTACAGACTGCGGCCTGTCGGGTTCTAGCAAGAGGGGAGGTTTACCAGAGGAGTGGCTTCCGTGAAGTCCATCAGGAGGTCGCCGGGCTCCAAGGTGAAGGCACCTCCTCGGTCAGAGGGGCTCTGCGGAGGCGACAGAGACGTCTCGGTCAGTGACCGTGCGGGACTGACAGCGGGATTTCCCCCATCTCCCCTCCCGGTCTAATACTGATCATGCCAACCCCACCCCATCTCTCGCTCGGCAGGGACCACAATGCTAGGACCGAGCCCTGATTTCTTTCTGAAACCTTGGTGAGCAGAAGCAGGTGCGGGCTGGGTAACTGCCTTTGACGTCGAAGCTGCAATGCTTCTGGAAGGCTCTGAGTGCTCTTGGGGCACGGGGGGACCGTATACAGACAGAGCAAAGACCCCATCCTGGGCCCAGAGGGCTGCGGCCTCAGGAGCTGAGTTCAGCTGCACGATACCGAGGAAGATCCTTACAGTGCGAGAGGGGCACCTCTGACAATCATGTTCCTTCCCGGAGAAAACATTTTTCTTCTGGTGTCCTGGGGTCCCAGCAGCACGGGGGCCCTTGGGGCCCTTTGTGGGGGGAATAATAAGCCCCATCAAGCTGGCACAAGCAGGACCCTTAGGTCAGAGACCGCCAGGAGAGGGAGCCTGTAGCCTCTGCTAGGATGTGGCCCGCATCCCCACGGAAGTCCTTTCTTGTTTTGTAAATGTTTTCACTTGGTTTCAGCCAGGGTGTGGGAGACACCGCAGGCGCCTGTGCCCACTCTTCAGGCAACGCAGCACAAGGGACTCGACCCAGCAGAGACCCCAGTGGAGGTGCCAGGAAATGGGCTGGCAGAGGAGACCCAGTGGAGGTGCCAGGAGGTGAGCTACAGAAAGCAGGAGCTGTGAGGGGTCCAGCCAGGCTCCGGTGGAGGAAGGCGGAAGTACCCCAGAGACCCTGGTCAGGGCCCCAGTGAGGCTGGTGCTGGTCACACAGGAAGCGGGCCTGGACCTGGGGACCTAGATGTTACCAGGAGGGGTGGCCTCGATGCCAAGGAGGCCCTCGGCGGCCAGTTTGCACTTAAACCTCCACTGGACCCGAAGCTGGCCCAGGGGCCAGGCAGGGTGGCCGGGATGATTCCCGTGTTCAGGAGGAGGAAACGGAGGCTCAGAGAAACCAGGGCCGCAGAGGGACAGCTCATTGCAAGCAGCCGTAGCCCAGGGCTCTGGTCTTGCCTTCAGACCCCCGCCCCGTGCCTACCCCGCTCCTCAGAGGGGCCCGAGGGCCAAGCCGCCTCTGGCTCAGCATCTGCTTGGGGAGCAATAGGTCCAACCAGAGGCTGAAGTGGCCACAGCTGAGGGCCACTCATAGGAAACCGAGAGAAAGGTGGGGTGCAGCCTTTGTCACGGACCATTCCCATCACTGGCAATTCCCTGAAATTTCAAACCAGCGAATAGAAAACCATTTCCCGCTGTGGCGCTATTTGCACAGGCTATCCAACATCAGGCCTGGATGGGGATACGGCTACGTTTTATTCCCAATTTTCCACCTGGGAGGAAAGCCCATTTCTTGCGTTCTATCTTTCCAATGTGTAGCGATGATATTCTGAATTCAAAATTGCCTTTTAAAATCTCTTACTTACTTTCCCTTAAGGTCGGTGCGCACGGTTTACAGTATGCTACTTGTCTCTCACAGCCTCTCTCTTCGGGACAGTTACAGGAAAACACATGCTTTGGTGGTTAGGTTGTTTTACACGGGCGAAGCTTTTACTAGAGTTGGGGATGCAGAATGGTATGCACATGGTGCCACACACTTCATTTCTACCGATTCCCCAGCAAGGGCAGCTTGCCTCACGTCCCCACCCCCCCAAACCCCTCCGCCACCCCCCGTACCTTGGCCCCTGGGGACAGCGGACTCTTGCTTTCTGAACTCTGAGGAGAGCTGACTTTGTGGACCTTGGGGGACGCCAGTGGTGCAGAGACCTGCGTGGCAGCGGCGGCCGTGGTGGTGGTGGTGGTGGTGGTGGTGGTCAGGCCGACGGCCTCAGCCAGCTCTGGAGGGAGGTCGTCTTCATCACTGCGGTTGCTAAAAGCACATGAAGCTCTGCTCATTACAATAAGAAGCAGGCTGTGGGGGAGAGGAAGGGCGGGGATGGGGGGAACCCCTAAACGGAGGTCCCCTTCTACCAGAGGCCCGCTTATAGGACTCAGGACACTGACACTTTTGCCAGAGCTCATTTGGGCTAGGTTTTCTGTCACTTGTGGAGGGATTCAGATACATGTTCTAAGGAAAGAATATACCTAACACAACATTATTTTATCTGTTTGTAAGTGTGCAATTCACAATGCGGTGTAACTGTCTATGCCCAGAACTTTTCATCAGCCCCAGCGGTAACGGTACCCACTGAACAACGCCTCTGCAGCCCCTGGTAGCGTCTGTTCTGCTTCCTGGCTGGGTAACGTTGACTCCCCTAGTCCAGTGGTCGGCAAACCGCGGCTCACGAGGCACATGCGGCTCTTTGGCCCCTTGAGTGTTCTAACGCCACTTCTTCAAAATAGACTCGCTCAGGCCGAAAACCGACTTCCGCAAATGGGCTACGAAGTTTCAATCGCACTGAGCATGCGTGCCCGCACATGGTATTTTGTAGAAGAGCCACACTCAAGGGACCAAAGAGCCACATGTGGCTCTTGAGCCGCAGTTTGCCGAGCCCTGCCCTAGGGACCTCGTCACCAGGAGGGTAGGAAAATCCAAGTGCCAGCTGGGCTCATCGCCAGGGCTTGGACTTCTGGGGAAGGTCTGGGCTGGAAGCCCTTCAGGCAGGATCTCCCCCTGGCACAGCATCCATCTTGCTCTTCGTGTGTGGGCCATGATTTCTCCAAAGGAGAGAAACGAACACAAAGCCCCCAATGCCCAATGCCAATCAGACTGCTGTAAGTGGCTCACTCGGCAGGCCTGGAGTAATCACAACAAACGCTGCCCATTCCAAATGAACCACCGGTCACTGCCAAGCCCCGGGGGAACCTCCGGGCCCTTAGGCGATCCTGCCTCAGCAGAGGATCTCTGTGTACCCGACATTTTAAGCCATGCCAAGTGATTCCTGCTATCAATGAGATTTGTGGCGAATGCCTGTGTGTGTAGGAATGCCTGGAGCTTGGGGTCACACTGTATCGATTTGACCTCCGGGGGGCTGGAGACTGGTTAGCTAAGGACAGTCACAGGAGTGATTCCCCAACACAAACTCTGGATGCCAAGTCTGGAGCGAGCTCTGGTTGGCAGGACTTCGCGTGTGTGTCGCACGCTGTTGCTGGGAGAATTCAGCACTGCCCAGGGGACTCCTCTGGAGGGCGCCTGGCAGCTTGGGCCTGGACCACTCCACGACCCGTGACCAGTGGGCAACCAGTGTGGCCCATGTAGGGTCCCAAATGATGGCCTCATCACAGCAGCGGGCCTCGTGGGAAACGTGGCCGTGGGATATGCAGTGTGGGTGGGACAGACTGAGGCAGGCTCTGGGCTCTAAGGTCATTCTGTGAATGGAGAAGTCTCTAGAGGAGGACTTAGAACTCATTGTGAAGAAGCAAGGACAGGTAGAGTTTGAACAATTAAGTGGGACACTTAATGACACCACGAGTTTGGATTCGTGCTAATGAACTAAGTCATATCAGTTACATGATTAGCACATTTAATTTTCGCAGCCACCCTGTATTATGATTGAAATTACTTGCCCAAGGTCACACAGCTTGGGCAAGTAATTTGTTCACAGCATTTAAGACCAAGGGATTAAAATTTCTTATTATCTCATTAGAAAAATTGTAACCTGAGAAGCATAGCTATTATTTAGTTTTACATAAAAAGCCATTTAAAAAGCAGCTCATCTTTTGGAGCAGGAAGTCAATGGATACTGCCTAACATGAAAAAAAAAGACTCAAAATTCTTAATTTTTAAAAAATTACCTTTTGTCTTAACTTAGAAAAGGAACATGTATCTAACGTTCATCAAGTCTTTCAGCTTTACCCCAGCTTCAAGGTAAACTCGTGTTAAATTCAAGAAACAACCCTTTCGTAAGATTTTATGTGCAGCACTATTTCCTTCGAAATGATTCCCCCCCCCCCCCCATTTTGACATGATGTCCGCATAGAGAAATGTCTAAAGTCAGTCATCACATGGGAACATCGCTTGTTTTTGATGGACTGATTCTAGGGAATTGGTTATTTCTCTCTTTGGATTCTGTCTCGCTTGAATTTTTAAAAACTGTGTTTAAAGAAACAGTTATGTTATATTTCTGGAGAAGATAAAGCAGCTCGTCTCTTTGTAAACATGCTAGGTTTACAGGAGGCAGTTTGGTGTACTGGTTACATTCTCTTCTTGCAGACCACACATCAGTCATTGTTTCCAACATGATTACACATCCCCGGTGGCTGACAGCAGCATTTTAAATTTCAAAATGTAAAAGGCCAGGCGGATCCTGCCAGCCTTATCCTCAGGGGGGCAGATTTTTCAAGGTTTAATTTGTCCCTCAGAGAGCATTCCGGCTGTTAATTACCGGAGTCTTACTCGTCTGGGCTTTCATAGGAATACAGCTGCTCACACTGCCCGGAAGTTTCTATTAAGGGATAATGAGTTGGGATGAGCCTGCCCTCCTCCTTCTTCTCTCCACAAGGTGGCAGGCCTGAGACAGCTGGCTGAGAGCTGGATCCGGTGACTCCCTGTCCTAGGCTGTGCACTAGGAATAGGTCCCCTTACACTTGACTTTTCCTTAGAAGCTTTCAGGTCCTTGAGAAGAAAGGAGCGGGGACTAATGTATCCTATGGCCAGGTCACCGGCTAGGAGGGTTACCCGCATTAAGTCACGTTAACAACCCTCCCAAAATCCCTCAGAGGGAGGTATTATCTCACCCATTTTACAGATGAAGGAAGAGAGGTTCATGGACTAACTTCCCCAAGAGCTTCCAGCAGTAAACTAACCAGGGTGCCTTTCTAATTCCAGTGCCTTACAAGCTCTCCATTGCACCCAGACACCCCTGCAGCTCACTGACCAGGCCTGGTGCCACAGCCAAGGTCAAGAAATGAAAAATTCCACTGTGATCAGTACTGCTACTATTACAAATACCATCACCACCCTTACTACACTTACTGGTCTTCTTTGGATTGCAATTACTTGTGATCTGCCATTCCCTCTAATAAACTGTGAGTCCTCAGACGAGAATTATTAATCATTTTGTTCTTCCCCATGGTACCTCGAAAAGCCTGTGAGAGTCCCTGACCCAGGAGACCCAGCAAAACCCTGGCTAGCCTCCCTACTCACAGAAACTGGGAGACAATAAATGCAGATTGTTTTGTTATTATTGTTTTGTTTTTTTAAAATATATTTTTATTGATTTCAGAGAGGAAGCAAGAGGGAGAAAGAGATAGAGGCATCAATGATGAGAGAGAATCATTGATTGGCTGCCTCCTGCATGCCTCCTACTGGGGATTGAGCCTAAAACCCAGGCATGTGCCCTGATGAGGAATCGAACCCTGACCTCCTGGTCCATAGGTCGACACTCAATCACTGAGCCACACCGGCCAGGCAGATTGTTTTAATTAAGCCATTAAGTTTTGTAGTAATTTGTTCACAGCATTTTATAATGAATATAGATGCCAACTCTGTAGTGTTTTCAGGGAGGAAGGTCTGTTCTTGTTATGACCTAACTTGGAAATGAACTCTTTGGGTCTGATGTGAAGGGCTAAGAAGCATTCGTGACTGAACATTTAGCATCACCCTTGTTGTAACATCCGGAAAACTTGCAGTAAGAACTCACAAGCTGTATTGCCTTGTTAACTTCCTCACTCGAGGAGGCTTGATCTCCGGCTTTTCCACTGCTGGCTGGGCCGTTTCCACACGTATAGGAATCGGACTTCTAGAGACAGACAAAAACAACAACCCCCACACAGAATAACGTGGTTGCCAGAGAAGAGGGGGTTGGGGGATGTGAAAAGGTGAGGGGGATTTAGAGGCACAAACTTCCAGTTATAAAATAAGTCACGGAGATGCAGTGTCTACCATAGGCAATGGAGTGAATAATATCATAATAACTTTGTACAGTGTGGTTACTAGACTAGCATGGTGATCACTTCATAAGGTATATACAGTAAATGTCAAATCACTGTGCTGCACACCTGAAACTAATAGAGCATGGTATGTAACTAAAATGTTAAAAGAAAAGAAATAAATAAACAAACTAAAGCAAAACAGAACAACCCCCAACAAAAAACATGGATGGCCTTGTTTTGGTGGTTGGGGGACTACTTTCTGTTCATTTATACCTTAATAAAAGCAATAGTTAAGAGATTTGTTTTTTCTCCTCTCCACTCTACCAATTAAATATAATTTTTAAGAAAATGCCACAGAAAATCCAAAACCAAAAAACAAAAGATAGCCGAAACCGGTTTGGCTCAATGGATAGAGCGTCGGCTTGGGGACTGAAGGGTCCCAGGTTCGATTCTGGTCAAGGGCATGTACCTTGGTTGCGGGCATATCCCCAGTAGGGGGTATGCAAGAGGCAGCTGATCGATGACTCTCTCCCATCGATGTTTCTAACTATCCCTCTCCCTTCCTCTCTGTACAAAATCAATAAAATATATTAAAAAAAAAAAAAGATATCCTAAGAAAGGAAATATAGCAAGTAGGAACTGAATGTAATTGGGGTACCACATAAACTGTCCCTGCCCAAAACACCCACCCCCCAATATTAGGGTTTGATGCATTACCAAGTTTTACTAGTAAAATGAGTAAAGAGATACCTGTGGGTAATTGATTTTTACTTACTTCCAAGTAATCTTGTAGCCATGTTATTTTAAACACTCCAGAATATATATATATATATATATATATATATATATATATATATTTAAAGATAAAGAACCGTAGAGTAATTAATGTGAAAGATGCATAATCAGAATGCCTTTAAGACTTGCTGTAAAGCATTTTAATTCAAATGCATATATAAAAATGGTAAAAGTTAAATTCCACTTTTACCTTTCCTCAGTACAATATGCCGATAACCAATAGACCCACTCAAAACAGCAATTTTAGGAGGAAGCTTTCAGGCATTTTTGTAAGTGGTCGGGTCTGGATCGCATCCTAAGAGCAAAGTGGAGTCTCTAAGGGACTGTAAGCAGGGGAATGACAAGGTCAGATCTCTACACTTCAGAAGCAACTCGAAGTGATTTCTCTGTCAGCACCGCAGGTAGCAATATTAAAACTGGGGATAAGCAGCATTTTTGAGGCTCAAATGAAGTTGTGTAAGCCAGTATTTTCCTTTTCTTCCTATCTCGCCAGGCTCCCATTCACCCAGTTTTCTTCTTCCTCTCTGATTCTGTTAGCAAAACCCTCCTGAGTAATGTGTTCAAGTCATGTTGATGATACCAAGAATATTGTCTTCCCATTCAAACGAGAAGCAACAGACCTTACATTAGCGTCCTGAAGACTGGATTTCTTATTGATATTTACAAACGTGGATTCCTCTTTCCCAACCTGTGGAAGAAAACAGGCAGGTGAGTCAAAACTGAATATCTCCGCATGCGAACCTCTTCTCATGTCTCCTACACTCGAAGGATTATAGACACGTGAAGGTGGACCGAGGAGGTAGTTCACCAAGTACTCAGTCAATAACAAATGTCCTCTGGCGTTTATGTAAGCTAACAACAAGAACAAAAACAAAGTCTTCTTGAGTCCTTCCCCATCATGGGGATTAACACTTCATCCTTCAGAAGCAATCAATGCTTGCGTATTGAGCACCTGCTATGCGCCAGCTCATGCTTGAATGAGAAAGGGATGGTGTGAGAAATGCCAAACCCACAGTTGAACCCCCACCTTGCGTTTTTAGATCAGGAATAACAATCAGCTCTATAACCACGCAGCACTTAACAGCTCCTAAAGGATTTGGGAATCTGTCCTTTCACATAAACATAACCGCCTGGGAGGAACTGTGTCAGATGCTGTGGATAGAAGCCTTGTCCCCCTCTCACTGGTGAGGCCCGCCAAGAACTGTGGGGGAGGAAAAACACCCCCAGACAGCCAGGCCAGCTGAACGCACGCTGGAAGGCAATGGGAGACGCAGAGGTCTGCGGGCTCATACCCATCACGACCTACGGAGCTGGCCGATTCACTCAGTACCAGGTGAATACCTGTACGCCAGTTAATAACTCCTTATATTAAAATCTCTCTGCACATGTCAGGTGTGGCTCCTGTCTCTCCTGGCTGGACCATGACCGACACAGGGCCCTAGAGTACCTCACTCTTCTCTAGGGCCTGGAGGAACTTCTGTCATGTGAAATCAAAGGGACGCATGCGCTCCACACACCTGAGCACTCACTCGGGAAGCATTCTCCAGCTGGGCTTTCAAAATGTTACACTTCACGTGATCAGCCACAGGGGAAGGCAAGAGCGGGGTCTGAAGAGTCTTCTCAGAAACTTTTTTTTCTTCAACCTGTGAGGAGCCAAAATGCCACAGATTGGGTATCAACCATTCCTTTAATCATAACTGCAACCTTTCCTTTAATCATAACTGCAAACAACACAGGCTTAAACATATAAAAACGTGTATCATCAAATCCTTATGTTTGTAACCAGCGCTTTTACTATGTGCAAAGAATTCACAAGCCCTTGTTCTCATTCTCACGTGAAGTAGGGAGAGGATGCATTAGGGAGCACATCAGCCAGAGGACAGGGTGAGCCCTGGCTGGGTGGCTTAGTTGGTTAGAGCATCATCCCCATACACCAAGGTTGCAGGTTTGATCCCTGCAGGGCCATGACCCATACAGGGTCCTAGAATACAATGAGAAACCAATGAATTTCCAAATAAGTGGAACAAAATAGATGTTTCTATCCCCTTGTCCCCCCCCCCCATCTCATCCTCTCTTTGTCCTCTTTCTTTCTCTCTCTCAAGCCAATAAATAAAAATTAAAAATAAGAATAAGATGGGATGAAGTTTCAAAGAGAGGAGGTTCTTTGAGAGCCCGGTAGCTACACCATGAGGCAGGTCCAGGACTCACTCTTTGAGTTTCCTATACCTCAGTGCAGTGCTATTTCCCCCATAACTGCTACCTCTTACATATAAGGATTCAATTCTGTGGCTTGTTGGGCCAAAGGAAAGAATATAAAATATTCATTGGTACGTTTTCAATAAATCTTGATGAAAAACGTGGTTCACAATGAGAAATTTGTAACTATGCTACCTCACTGTAGAATGTCTCAGACTTCTTCCATAACTTACTATGTCTGTCATCTCCCATGAATTAACTGAACATGCACCTATAATTAATATGATCCAGTTAAATGGGATTACCTCGGAACTACCTAGTTTAAGTAGGTGTCCTAAGCAATAATATCTGAGATCATGGGCTAGGTGACTATTATATTTATTATAATAGACAGTATGATAGTTATATCACTGTTAAAAATACTTATGTATATCATCTTGGATGGCCTACATATGACACGCAGGGAAGTCATGTCTTATTGTTAACCATGCCTATTGTGGTCATTGCATATTCCCCTGAGCACACAGCACGTGCTCAACAAACACCTGCTGAAGAAGGTAATAATGACAGAGAGTTATTACTAGAAGAGATATACTTAATAAGAAAGTTATAAGAACATATGATTGCTAAAAGTGCATTTAGTGATATCAGGACATAATGTGCCCTGTCAGTCACAATGGACCAGCTAAGAACAAAATGTTCTAAAGACCTCAAATTCGGCAAGTTCCAAAATTAATCTCACTCACTAACTCAAAAGTTCTATGGAACATTATGAAATCCCCAAAGGAATTATTGTGCAACTGGCTGGCTGACATCCTTTAGTAAAGAAAAGAGGGCATAGGAAAGAGTATCTCCGTGGGACCTCCAAATGCACAGAGGAGCATTTGGTAGACTAAGCAGAACTCAGCAATCTCACATAATAGAAAGATGAGCAGAGACAGAAGACCTGAATTTGAATCTCAGCTTTTTTCCTTACTAAGCCCCATAAACAAAAGCTGCTGCTGCTGCTGCTGCTGATGATGATGATGATAACAAAAAGAAAAAGGTAACATTTACCAAGAGCTTATAATGGGCAAGGCCCTGACCAAGCATTTCTTTTGTATATCTTAGTAAATTTTCTTATTTAACCATCATATAGAGGTAGATACCATCACTATCCCCATTTTATAGATGAGAAGAAAAAAGAAAGTAAGTCACTTGCTCAAGGTTACACAGTAAGTTCCAAGAAAAGCAAAGATTCACACCCAGAATTAGGTGACCCTCAAGGCTGGGGTCCTGACCACTCAACCATACCGGCTCTCCTTAACTCTCTGAGTCTCAGTTTCTTTCTTCATAAGGTTATTATGAGGATCAAGTGATAAAATAAGATATGAGTGGCACTTGCATGGTGGATTCTTTGGTTAGAAAAGAAAATATAACTAAAAAAGAACATCAGACATAACATGAATGATCTTAAGCCATCAAGTTGGATATAAAGAAAACTGACTCATTTGGAATCATTTTCTAAGAGACTTAGCAGTTTCCAAGCAAGCAAATGAAGTTACTTATGTATTTTGAAAGATGCGATTTACAGTATACCTTTAGGATGATGCATCCTGTGTTTCTAAATCCTGTTAGATGAATTGTTTACTGCCAGAATCGTGTCTTCCCTGGTGTGCAAAGGGTTACCTTTTAAATTGGATTTACTTTGGGGAAATGATATGCTGGGAAACAGAAATTAAATTGGTTCCAAAGCCCAGCTGAGGTTTTTGACAATTGCTTAAGGGGACATAGTTATACTCAAAGTCGTGACCAAAGACCTACTTTAAAAAAAATTGAATGCTGCTAAAATAAGAAAAGAATGAGGGCCCGGCATTGATCCCCCCCCCGCCCCGCCCCTGAATTTGGTAATTCTTTTTAGACATAAAATTCAAGCTGGCTTGTTCCTGTTTGATCTGGACAAAGCAAAAGCTACTGTTCAGCTCTAATTTGTCTCAGGCAGAGGCCAATATAAATTTTGGAAAATTTGAGTATCACTATGTGAACATGTTTGAGTCGCATAGGCGTCTTCAGGGGAGATAAGCATCTGGATTGCAAAAGGACCATATTCCAGCCTGGAGGATGGCTCTGAGAATGCTGTGCTTTCTCTTCTGCATGATCAGAATTTGTATTTTACATTCAATTTGAACTGTGAAAAGATGATTTATTGTTGGATATAGAAATACAGACTTCAAAACATACACAGGAATGACACTTGGACTTTATCATTAGAAAGGGTCCATCTGTTTGGGGATGGCAATGGAGATAAAGAGATAATCAGGGGCACTTTAAATTATTGACATAGATTGTTTACACATTTGATATCTCATGAGATTTAACGTCCTGTGATAATTTTAGGTACTACTTTGGAACTGAGCAAAGAAAATGTCTTCTCAGCATTAAATCAAGAACAGGTACTTCTCCAAACCTTAGAAGAATCAGTAGATTCTTTATCATTGAGGAAAAAACGTTAAGAGTTGACAAAACCACTGGTCCCAATTGTGGTATCATATAAGTTGTAAGGTCTGTTGCAAGGAATGCTTTATTAATGATAGTGTGAAGTAATAATATACTTTGCTTATGTGATAGGACAAAGTCAAGGTTATATGACATCATTCCAGCCTGCCTGCTTTCTTCAAGTGGGAGAGGAAAGAGAGGCATTATATATAGTATGAGCTTCGGGGAATAACTTAATAACTCACAGCTGTCTCAGCTTGCCTTAACGCAGAGCAAGCCACTGTTGTCCATTTCCCACCAATAACTCATATGATGACAAGTTGCATAATGCTTCTGAGTTCCCTGATATTACATGCTATACTTCCTCACAAAACATGTTTGGATTCTGTCAAACGCTGGGTAACCCCCCGTGAAAACATTTATTGTGTATAGTGCATCAGAAAAGATGAAAACCAAGAGACAGAGAAGGACAAGTCTAGAGGGCACATGATGCATTGGACTGACTCCCCAGCACCTGGTACGGGCCTGCTCAATGTAGAGCTGCTGCTTGAATGAATGAGTGTGGCATCCCACAGGAGGAATTCTTTCCAGCTGGCCAACAGGTACAAAAGAAAAGAGGCCCAGCCAGTTGAGGATCCACCTATGAACCAGGAGGTCACTGTTTGGTTCCGGATCAGGCAGCCAATCAATAATTCTCTCTCATCATTGATGCTTCCATTTCTCTCTCCTTCTTCCTTCCTCTCTGAAATCAATATATATATTTCATATATATATGAAAAAAGAAAAGAAAAGTGGATGGGGTGGGGGAGGGCCTTGAAAAAGAAAAGAAAAGTGGATGGGGTGGGGGAGGGATCCCATTAAAGAACAGAAGGACTTTAGACTGACCTGGTGTGTGTGTGTGGGGGGGTGAATGCAAAGGACTGAGGGTCTTCGGAGAAGCTCTAAAGTCTACCATAGACTGGAGGGCTGGCTAGGGTGGAGGAAAAGCCTAGACAGGAGGTATAATCTTCCCAGGCTCACTAGCAAAGGGGGGCTTCCCGAGTCAGATCTTCCAAATTCTTATTATTCCTTCGTATAAAAGAGCAAAGCTAAGTATCAGAGTGGAAGAAAAGACCCAGGAGTGACAAAGACTATTCCTTTGGGGACTTTAAAAAAGTAAAATATTCTGACAAAAGCAGCTCTCAACTAGGGGCGATTTGACCTTTCAGGGGGTATTAGGCAAAGTCTGGAGGCGATTTAGTCTCAACCCCTGAATGGGGGTATAATTGGCATCTGGTGGGTCAAGGCCAGGGATCCTGCAAACATCCTACAATACACAGGAAAGCCCCTCTCAACAAAGAAATAACAGCCTCAAATGCCATGAGGACTGAAACTGAGAAGCCTGGGGAGAAAAATAAAGAACAATATCGGGTACAAAGGACAACGGATCAGGCATCGGGGGTGCATACATTCAGCCCCTGCTGGGTGACCTTGAGGAAGTAATTTCCCCTCCTCTGGTTTGATGTTGAGAAGGTTGAGCTAAATAATAGATCAAATCCAGCCCTGACAGTCTATAGACCTAAGATAAAATTAGATTTTTACAAGGCTCTGCAGTTGGATAAGAACAGATCTAACCAAAAGAGAGCTTGGCTTCTGCCCTATCCCTCCCTCTCTCCCTCCTTCAAGCCTCCCCTTCCTTCATCAGCAAATAGTTACTGATCATCTACTATGTGCCAGGAGGAAACAGAAATTGGAGAGAGAAAGGAAGTGGCACGGGCCAAACTTTCCCTCCCTCCCTTACCCCTGCCCCCCCCAAAAAAAATTCATATGTTGAAGCCTTGACCCCCAATGTGATAATATTTGGAGATGAGTCATTTGGGAATTAACTAGATTTAGATGAGGTCATGAGGTGAAGACTTCATGTTGGGATGAATGGCTTTATAAGAAGAGGAAGAGAAAAATATTACTTTTTTTTTCTTTTCTTTTTTTTTCTGGCAAATGGGGACACAGCAAGAAGGTGACCTTCTGCAAACCAGGAAGAGAGCCCTCACCAGGAAACAAATCAACCAGTGCCTTCATCTTGGACTCCCTAGCCTTCAGAACTGTGAGAATTAATGTCTGTTGCTTAAGACACTTAGTCTAAGGTGTTTTGTTATAGCAGCATGAGCAGACTAATACAGAGGGGTAAAAATGGAAAGAGCAGAGAGAGGACCTCTGGCCTGTGGATCCTTCCATTAGAAGGAGGGAGAGACCACTAATAGATCTAGCCTGCTGGCCTCGGCACTGAGGGCAATGCCTCAGTCAGTAAGTCACCCTAAAAGAGAATGTAGGAGAAGGTTTGCTCTGCAGACACACTGAGCAGAAACACCGGAAAAGCCCGAGGACAAACCCCTCCAAGCCAAAGGCACTGGGTTCATGAGGCAGGCCAGGCTCATGACCAGAGGTTTGATGTGAGCCTCAAGTCCACGCTCATCGCCTGGTTCTGGTCCTCGATACCTTATTGATGTTGATGTGCAGAGCAGGCCAGGGTCCAGGGGCCTTCACAGTGTCCAGTTCCAGCTTCTTGAGATGCGTGGCCGCCTCGTTGAACAGGGCAGGAGCTCCTGGAGTCAGTTCTAAAAGAGACAAAAGGGAACAAACGAGGAAAAGCCAGAGGGTAAAAGACGATTCCGGAGCCCCACTGCCAGCACCTTCCCTGCCCGCCTCCTCCTCCGGCACCTGCATCTCTTGAACACCGGTTGGTGGAGTGTGAGAACATCTAAGGTCAAGGTTTCAAGGCCTAACGCCCTCATTCATGAGCTGGGTGGCCTGGGTGAATCACGTGACCTCTCTGAGCCTTTGTGCCATTTTACATTGAAAATAAAATTATTTACCTTTTAAAACTGTTATAAACATGAAATGAGATCCTTCCTGTACAAATGCTTTATTAATGAGAAAGCACTATGCAAATTGGAAAGATTAGTGTTCAGGCTAACAGGCATATATGGATGTGCTCTTAAAAACTAGGTTATAATTCTAACATCAAATTCATTGATTTCTATTTCTCTCCTACTTTGGATTAGTTCCACCACCCCTCCCACTAGCTAAGTATTTTCCCATTGACACATGACATTAAATATTTGATATTCATTACATACTAAAACTTGTGCCAAGTATTCTTTGCCATTGAGATGTGGGGAGCTGGAACAGAGAGAAGAATGAGGCAGTGCGTGTGCAGACAACGCCGAACTAGAATAATAAGAGGCTATTTTCATTGCTACAGGAGTGAGAGAGAAGGCACTCTGAAGCCAGGAATCAGAGAGGGGTGTGAGAGATGCTTTCACTGAGGACATTGGAGCTAGTTCCTGGAGGATGTGTAGGAGTTCACCAGGGCAGAGGAAAGCAGGTGCGCAGACCTGAGCTGGGAAGCAGCACAGTGGTGGTGAGAGCAGAGTAGTGGCTAGAGCATAGGGAGCGGAGGGAAGGCTGAAGACCTCGGCAGAGGCCAGGTAGGGAAGGTCTGTGCCCAAGACCGCCCCATGGTTCCTCCCTGGCCACGCTTAGACGTATGGGCTTTATTGCAGGCCAGGGAGGAACCATGGGGCGGTCTTAGGCATTTGGTCAGAGATGCCTGGTGAGAGAGCGCCCACTTCGGCAGCTGCCACCTGGAGAACGCACTAGAGGAGGTGCCCTGTCAGGGGCTGTTACAGTTACCCAGACACCAAAAGATGAGCCAGGGCCTAGGGCAGTGGTTCTCAACCTTTCTAATGCCGCGACCCTTTAATACAGTTCCTCATGTTGTGGTGACCCCCAACCATAAAATTATTTTCGTTGCTACTTCATAACTGTAATTTTGTTATGGTTAATGAATTATAATGTAAATATCTGTGTTTTCCGATGGTCTGAGGCTCTACAGCAGCGGTTCTCAACTGCTAGCAGGGTAGCTGATATTACATTATGATTCATTAACAGTAGCAACATTACAGTTATGAAGTAGCAACAAAAATAATTTTATGGTTGGGGGTCACCACAACATGAGGAACTGTATTAAAGGATCATGGCATTAGAAAGGTTGAGAGTCATTGGTTTAGGGCAGGGTGGATAGGGATGATGGGAGAGAGTTCCGAATCTTCAACACCAAGGGAATCAAGAGTTCCCATTCCCGGCTTAGCCACCCCAGAATTGTTCTCTGTGGTCAAGTGAAGGCACAATGGCTCTTTCTTTTCACCAGCTCACAGACTCCCAAAATGTCAGTGCTGGGAGGTTCCTTGGCCATCCATGTAGACACCCTCCACCCCATTTCACAGATGAGAAAATTGGGGATCCAAGAGATCTGGCTCACTAGGAATTGCCACCTCTTGCCTCTACCTCAGTGCTTTTTCCAACCATATATGATAGAGAATCAGTTCTTCCCCCCGATGTCACAGATCAACTCTTAGGTAAAATGTAATAAAAGTGAGTTCTAGAAAAATAACAGACATACAAAATCCAAGCCCACATTTTTAAAGCTCTAACAGATGTAAAATCACTTTTAAATTGCTAGAAATGTTTCTAATGGCTTACTCCCCATTTCCATAACTTCTCTCCCCGGGGCCTGAGGTCACCTTGCTCTCAGAAGTGAAATGTCAGAAAGGGGCTAGAATGGGCTTTCCCGAAATTAAAAAAAGCAGAGATTCTAGCCACCTCACTCTCCTCTTTCTCTTTCTGTCACTTTGAGCCAGTGCTGGAGGTGGCGAAAGCAAAGATTGGCTAAGGCAGTGGTTGGCAAAATGCGGCTTGTGAGCTACATGCAGCTCTTTGGCCCCCTGAGTGTGGCTCTTCCACAAAACACCATGGCCTGGGCGAGTCCATTTTGAAGAAGTTGCGTTAGAAGTTTAGGTTTAAAAAATCTGGCTCTCAAAAGAAATTTCAATCGTTGTAATGTTGATATTTGGCTCTGTTGACTACTGAGTTTGGACCACTGTGCTAAGGCATGAGCAGGAGGAGAGAGTATTGTTACCTTGTAATGAAATCAGCTTCCTGGTAAACCATACACCCTATGTTGCTCTTACCTAATTGCTCAAGGCCCAGGCCCAGTAACCCAGCGCTGAAGTTACCTTTTCCTCGCTGCACCTGCAGGGTCTGTTTTGAGGATGAATGGAAGCCAGCCATGCCCTATAGCTTCTTTCCCACCTCCCCACCTCGTTTCCGACCCCTACTCACTTGTAAGGGATTTGCTGCTGGAGTTTGGGGACCTCAGCGGCCCCTCCTTGTTCTCCAGGGTCAGGGAGAGGCCATAGTTTGGGTGGTGCTGGTGCTGGTGCTGGTGCTGGTGCTGGTGGTGGTGGTGGTGGTGGTGCCTCCCCGAAGCTTTGGTAGGGAATGGCGTGCCCCCGTTCTCCTCGATGCCGAAGGGTAGCCGGTCCGAGCTGCTGAGCCCTGGGGAAGGGAGCGGGTAGCTGTGGAGGGTGTCAAAGTCAGTATTTAGAGAAGCAAAACGCCTTGACGTTCCTGTGCGTACTTTAAAAGAAGTTCTCAAAGCATGAGGAAAACAAGAGAAAGCAGGTCAACAAACAGATCCACAGGGCCACTGTAGATCAGGACAGAAGGGCAACGCTGTTCTCCAAGAAAAAGCAGAACGTGGGGATTTGTATGCATCGGAGACTCCAATGCATACAAACAAAATGCTTAACTTTGAAATGAAATAACTTCTGTTAAAAAAGATATACTCTCTAAACAGGAAGGAAGAAATGACAAACAATGACAAAAAAACCAATTGTCAACTGTCGCATCACACGATCATAATGACAAACTAGAAGTTTTAGAGTCCCTCTCTCTTCCTCCCCATCAGCCTCACCGTGCAGAAAGCACCTGCTAATGTTACTGCTGTGACATCTTTTAAAAATATATATATATTTTGTTGATTTTTTTACAGAGAGAGGAAGGGAGATGGAGAGTTAGAAACATGATGAAAGAGAAACATTGATCAGCTGCCTCCTGCACACCTCCTCCTGGGGATGTGCCCACAACCAAGGTACATGCCCTTGACTGGAATCAAACCCGGGACCTTTCAGTCCGTAGGCTGACCTTCCATCACTGAGCCAAACCAGTCAGGGCAACATCTTTTAATTCCAATGGTTCCTCTTGCTTCCTACCAATATACATTGCCTGATTGAAGCCTATGTTATCTCCCACTTAGACTGCCTCAAACACAGATTCCTAGCAGCCCTCCGCGCCTCTCCTCTCTCCGATCCACCCTGGCTGCTCCCTGGAGGCCTTGCTCAGGACAATCTCACATTGTGTGCATGCATGGAAGAATGTGGAAGAGGGGGTGACTTTGGCCTCTGGGTAGGTGGGGAGAGTCACAGACCAGCCTCACTTCTCCAGTGATATCCACCCTCCCCATCGAGGCAACAAAGCAGGCAGCAACAAGCACACGGAGTTGTTGTTGAAACACCTGGGTTCCCATCTTAGTTCTGCCCCAGCCTTGGGAGGAGCTGGGGACAGTCACTCTGAGGTTCAACTTTCTCCCTGGGAACAGGAAGTTGGTGAGGCGATTGCTGGCATCTCCTCGGGATAGTTTACTGCACACTCACTGTGTGCAGGGTGAACCTTTGCCTGTCCCTGACACCTGCCAGGGGGCAGGAACAGCCCCCACAGCAGCACATGTGGAGCCCTCTGGGGGCAAACCGGCTCCTCGTTCCTTTGAGCCCAAAGTGGGGACAACTCCGTACGCCTCATCAGAACTAAAGCAGCAGGGAGACGCTGGCAAAGACCTCAGTAGAGCTGCTCCCCATGGACGGGCCTCAGAAGGGTGGCAGGCGGGGGTAACCATTTATTCTTTCAGTCCTCAGGCAAGTGGACACAGCCAGGGATCCTGGAGCCTCAGGCAGCCTCGCCTGCTTACCCGGGGGCTACACAAATACGTCATGTTCTATGTGCCAAGGACGAGAAAAACGTTTGGCAGCACCGCCACTCGCCCCTCCTGCAGCCCATTCGCCTGGAACTGTGGCTCTCCAACGGGGACTCTCAGAAGGATCTGCGCAAACACCGTGTTTTTGCAGCAGGTGGTGTCAGCCAGCACCAACCCCCGTCCCTCCGACAGAACACTAGACCAGTAACCATGCTCTCCAAACGCTCACAGAGAAAAACACCCAATGCTCAGCTTTTCTGAGTGCCCAGCACTGTGCCACCTATTAATGCATTTAACCTCCCAACAATCATTTGAAGGAGGGACAGGTATTGTTTTCTCTATTTTATAGATAACAGAAAGGAAGGAGATCTCTGGCTCAGTTGGTTGGAGCATCATCCCCTGCACCAAAAGGTTGCAGGTTAAATTCTCAGTCAGGGTGCATAGCTAGGTTGCAGGGTCAATCCTTAATGTCTCTCTCTCTCTCTCTCTCCCCCCCCCCCCTTCCCCTCTCTAAAAAAATCAATAAACATATCCTTAGGTGAGAATTTAAAAAAAAAAAAAAAAGGGGGAAAGGTATTAGTTGACTTTCCTAAGGCCACACAGCTAGTAAGTGGCAGAGCTGGGATTTGAACCTAAGAGACCTGACTGGAGAGGCCTGTGCTCTCCCAAGTGCTCAGAGGCACTGCACTGCCACGTGGACAGAAGCAGCAGCATCACGACGTGATGAGAACGCTGGCTGGCACTTAGCTTTGGTTTGACTGCCACTTAGCTGTGTGACCCGAGGTGACTCATTTCACTTCTCTGGGCCCCAGACATCACATATTTGGACTAACATTTATTAAGCATTTATATGCCAGGAACTACAGCTCAATGAAATAATTTGATCTCTGCCATATCCCGTTGAGAGCGAGGGCAAGGTGCATGTGGTCGTTATGGTTTCCAGGACACCTGTCACTTGTTTCAATTTTTATCTGGTGGAGACTAAACAGAACGGGCCATTAGACCAACATATTGCTACAAGCTCTTATTAGATTCAGCGGCAGTAAGTAGAAAGTATATTTGAAAACGGCACTTTTCCCATAAAGAAAATTGGGCAAGCATCTTAGAAATATGACACATTACAAATGTTAGGTCTATTAATTAGGGATGATTTATTACAGCATCTTAGTGGTCTTATTTATTTATTTTTTTAAAGAGCAACTAGAGAGGAAAGATGCTCTACTTATTTTCCCCCCGTCCTGTCTGAAAAGGTCAAAATGACATTTTTAGGGCATGGTTTAGATGTCTTTATCCAGACTGCTAATTGGCAAAAGAGGACTTTTCCAATGTGTATGTCTTTGAAGACATTTTCCTAGCACGCAACATGGCACTACGTCTGGTGTTCACACAGGTGATGTCTGAATCCTTACAGGCTGGGAACTCTTCTTTTGATTAGTCAGTCAGCTCCCTTATCCAACGACGGCCTCTTCTCAGCGTCCATTCCTGAGCCGGTTATGGTACTGGCACAGTGTAGATACAGAGTACATATTTATTGAATGAATGTCCCCATGCATTCAATTTTAATTCTCCCTGGCTAATTTATCAAGTGTCTACTCATAAACGCTTCACCGGGCTCACCAATCCCCCAGGTTTCTTTCCCGTTACATTCTAGTCTTTGCAAAACTGCAGAGTAAAATGTTCCACATCTTTTTAATATATATATATATATATATATTATTGATTTTTTTTTACGGAGAGGAAAGGAGAGGGATAGAGAGCTAGAAACATCGATGAGAGAGAAATATCAACCAGCTGCCTCCTGCACCCCCCCTCCTCCCCACCGGGGATGTTCCTGCAACCAAGTTACATGCCCTTGACTGTAATCGAACCTGGGACCCTTCAGTTCACAGACCGACACTCTATCTACTGAGCCAAACCGGTTTCGGCAAAATGTCCCACGTCTTAAGGAGCAACGAGAGCCTTTACGGTCCAGTGGTAACTGAGCGTCCTGTGTGAGCCAGACAGGATGTACACCTCTGCCTCGAAGTCCGGAGTTTTCCTTTGGCGAAACTGCCATCCAATGGTTTCAATGAGCGGCCGTCCACAGCGAGCAGGCCTTGAACACTTGCTGCTGGAAAATCCATGTTACCTTGATAACATTCTTGCTCATTTCCACAGGGGCTTTCTGATTGTGCGTGAGGCACCGAGAAGCCAGGAGGAAGGGCTCTCCAAGTTCGTGGTGAGGTCTAGGGTTTTCACCATTCCAGATCGATTTCAGCATCCGAGTCCAAAGAATAAATATTTTATGAGTTCATTTTTGCCCTGAGGCTTATGACTAAGATTTCATTCACTCTGTTCTCTGCCTTGAAAAAAATACGGACACAGAAAGAGTTGTTTTCCTTTACGGCATTCACTTCCAATCAATCTAACTGTGCTTTCCCTTCTTGATTTATTTCAGATTTTTTTTGGGGGGAGGGGTTATTTTTCATCCCAATGCCCACTCTGTGCCTTAAATGAAGATTTTCCCCCCCCACGTTAACAGCATTAACTTGCCTCTAGCCACTGCTTTAAATGCATCCCACACGGTATCATACGGGAGCCCTCAAGGAACAGGGAGGGGAAAAAAGTAATCACTTCCATTAAGTGCAGCTTCTCGTGTATAAAATAACGTTTTCAAGAGCCAGTCCTTTATCATCCCTTGCATTTTGAAAGAGCTATGGCAGACTCGGGCACGAGATGAGAGTGTTCTTTTTCTACCCTGCAGACACAACCTAACTCACCCAAACAAGTGGAAGTATCATTCATTCCAGAAAGATCCTCAGGTTCAACGTATAAATTGTATGCTCTGTGAAGGGCAGGTTTTAGACATCCTAATGGCACGGGATACCAGGATGAGCAGGAGCGGGAGCTGAACGCTGGGTTCGTGTTTTTGAGGTGAGCCGGAGGGATAATCTATTTCGGTTTTCATGAATGCTTAAAAACCTCCTCAAAGGCTCCCTCTCTGCTCCCCAATTCTGGCAGGTTTTTCAGAAGCTTCTGTTACAACCATCCTGCAAGCCTCCTGGAAGCCGTATTTTAAGGGCTTGTTTAATTGCCTTTAATATAGGTACAAGGTCCATTATGCAGCCCCGGATGGTGCTGGTGGGGCCATAGGCACAGCAACCCCTCTTGCTCCGGAGGTCTCAGCGGCAGAAAGTGGATGTTGAAGCCATTCCCATTCAGCTGGGGATGATTAGGTAGGTTTCTTACAACATGCCTACGGGATGTTCCTCTCATTATCCTAACCCCCTTTTTAGTGGATTGTGGAGACGACAGCCCTTCTGGTGTTTTAACTTCTGCAGCCTTTCCTCCAATAATGCCACTGCCGAGTCTTGGGATGTGGCTGTGCTTTTATATCCGACACATTAGAATTTGAATTGCAGCTAAAAGTAAACTCATCCTTCCCTGGTCAAAGGCACCAGGGAAATTCATAGTGTCTAGGTGGGTATTTAAGAAGTCGGGGTGGAAAGTTTTCAATAAGCTCCCAAAAGAAAAGGAATCAGGGATGTTAGAAATCAATTCCTTCAT